CATTCGTTGGTATAATTTCACTCAATCCACATAAGTACAACCTACATCTTATGAAACGTATACAACCCACAAAATTTCAAGTATCTAAACACAATTACTTATTGCTTACAGGATTTCATCATAGGCTGACATCGGTTAGAGAACCTCTGGGAGACCTGTAAGTAGTGGACAGCCGTTCCGTCCTAGATTGATAATTTCTAGCAGTACGCATCCACTGGCAGGGTTCGAACCCAGGACCTGGTGGTTACAAGGCGAGCTCGTATACCATTAAGCTACTGGGACCCGATTCAGCGGCCTATGAATCCCAACTTCTGCCAATTCACGATATAGCGCGACCCCTAGCCAATGTCTTCGGCGAACCCAGAAGGTCCTGGGCTTGAATCTCGGTGGGCGCGTACTGATGAAGAGTCCCAAACTAGGATGAAACAGCTGTCCAGTACTCCCAGGTTTTCCAATGGTTCTCTAACTAATGTCAGCTCATGATGAAAATCCTGTAACTTTGTGTAATAATTCGGTGAATTTAGCTCAGGTAGTGGAGACAGCGAAAGCAAATATTTTACAGGCCAGAAAAAAAAGATATGAGAATAGAACTTGTGTTGGTAGAGGAGTATAATTCCATTGTGGAAAAAATTTATTTTGATAAAATCTCACAGTGTTATTCAGTAATATTTACTGATGACGTTTCGAGCACAATTTATTGCTCGTAACCAGGTCAAGGTACTCACACAACTTTCTATCTTCGTTTATATAATCCCATTATTTTCCATCGCTTGATTTGATTGGCAGTAGTATTTTCCATATTTCCGGTATGTGTGACGAGTGATTCCTATTGCACGTGTTGGGTATAGACTCGATGAGCAAGGATTCAGTAATCAACCTCTCTCTCCGCCTACCTACATCACTTTTTAGAATTTTAACTCTCTCCCACCCTATTGTGTGGTTGTGTTTTAATGCATGCAGTGCAATTGTTGAGTTTTTTCTAAATTACTTATCTTCGCGGTGTCAACCACTCTAACCTTAGCTAAATTCTTATGTTCTGACAATCTGACTACCTCCGATCTATTAGTTTGACCTATATAGTTGACCTAACTCACAGTCATTGCAACGTATTTTGTAAATTATATTATTTTGTCTAGTTGGGTAGACCTACAGGTTCCCTTAACCTGAAGAATTTGTCCTGCCTGAGAGTTTTTGGGTTTAAATGACACTCTAATTCCTCCCTTATTAGGAATCCTACGTAGGGTTGCAGATGTACCCCTCCTCATATGGTAAAACTGGTTTATCTGACAAAATGATGTACAGTTGTGCCAAAAAGTAGGAACAGTACATTGGAATCTTCATTCGGGAAGTTATTTGTATTGTGCTACTTTCTCCCTTTCATGCTTTCTTTACCGCAACTTAATGCGTTGATGTGCTATTCAAGATTCTTGCAGGATATATCATAAACAATAGACTACTTACAAATCTTTGTCAGTAGCTAGGCGCACACTGCAACAATTGCCAATGGTGCGCAAGCAATTACATCATATGCTGTACTGTACGCTACTCGGTCTCTATGGGGACAGACAAACATGGGAAGCGGTCATTACGCTTTACAAGTAAGGTTTAGGGTGTGTCCCGGAATAGGTTAGGAAACATTAAACGCTCTAACCTCAATATGCACAGGTGGTGTACTATCATTTCAAGTGTGAATTTCAGGACCGATGGTTAAATGCCATTCGAGATTTTATACAAAACTGTCGCAAGTATTTACTGAAATGTGCTAAGGCGATAATATTTGTAAAATAAAGTCCGCTTTATGTGTATGGAGAAAAATTTGTCTCACTGTGAACAGTGACATAGCTCGACTCCTGGTTGAAATAGGACACCATATCAACAAACCAGACTTTTTGGGTAGTAAACGAATAAAGCATTTTATGACAGTTTTGAGTTGCCGAAGCCAGGGCCATGAGAAGCAAGAAGCTTGAATTATATAATCAAAAAGAGACTACCACTAACTTACTGCTGTCTTGACGAATACTGACTAACGTAAAATGACCAAGGTGACAGTTCATTTCAATGTCATAATTCGGTAACTTAAGCACTCACTTTTTCATGAATATCTTCGCTGTCGTTTACTGCCTTTGTTTCATCTAAATAACCATCTACATGACCTTGCGGCATTACCCACCTATCTCTGAATTCACGTTTTCACTTTTGATATTCTTTTCTTTATAGTATGAAAATGTTTCCGTTTTGATCTTGACTGATCATTCTAATTCTCTCGATACTTTGCACATCTTTTTCGTTTACGTCGTTTCATTCAACTTATAAAGTGAACTGGAAATTCTTTCAAACAATCTTAACATTGTGTCACACTGATTATCTGTGTATTTTATAATTCAGATTTTGTGCAGCTGATGAAAACCTCAGAAAAGTCGATGGATGTGCTCATGAAACTATTGCTGAATGCTTGGGAGTTGGATAGGTACCTACCAATTGGAAAAAAGGCTACCTTGTGAAACTACCAAATAGGTGCTACTCATACCTCCACAAGAACTGAGGATGAACAATACTTTTGTTTATACCGAGTAAAATCTTAAGTCGTGTCAATCCGGAGAGAATGAAAGAGGCACTGCATGCAGGACTCCATCACCCAAGACAAGCTGGATTCAAGAAAGGTAAATCATGTGCTGATCAAATTTCAACTTTACACATCATCGGACAAAGCATTTACGGCAATCAAACTTATACCCTAACTTTATCGACTTTCATAAGGCCTTCGACAGCGTTGGCCGAAAAGTAATTTGGAAACTACTTCAACACTATGGAGTGTCCCAACTCTTCATTAACCTCATCCAGCAATATTGTCATATGACAATACTTTATGTCAATTGAGCCAAAAGTGAAAACTCAGAGAAGCTTTTGAAGTGAAGACAGCAGTAATACTGGCTTACTACTGACGTTGATGATATTCCTGATTGTGGTGGGCTGGATTATGCGTCAGACTGTGGGTAGCGAAGGGACAGGAATAAGCTAAGCCAATAAGAATACTCTAGATGATCTGAATTTCACGCGTGGATGATTTATGTTTAATGTCACCCAAACTTGAAGGCTTACAGGCTTACCAACAAATTGGCTGAAGAAGAAGGAAGGACAGGACTACAGGTGACCATAGAGAAGACAGAGGTGATGATGATAATTACCAACAGCAACAAGAGGCACAGACCACTATCAACAGGAGAAGTTTGGAAAGGTTCACTTCGATCACTTATCTGGATAGGGAGCATCGTTTCAACTACAGGCGTCGAAACGGATGAGGATATTAAAACAAGCCAGGGTCGGAAAGCAAGAGAGATTTTAACCACTCTGAAATCGGTGTAGAAATCTGCACTTAACGCAAAGAACGAAATTCGGATTTTCACACCAATGTCAAGTAAGTCACTTATATTTGGGTCAGAAAATTAGCTGGTGCGTCACGTAAAAGATTTCAAGAAGGTGGCTGAAATTTACTAAGGATGAAATGAGCAGCACGAAACTCTTGGAATGAACCAATCACGAACAAATATTCCAAAGTGAATGGAGATGGACCGGACACACTCTGATAAAATCGCTGGGTGACATCGCACACCTGGCCCTCGAAAGGAACCCTTGTGGGAGACGACGATTTGTGCCTAGGTCCAAGGTAGACGCTGAGGAAATCGTGGTTTCAAGAGACGAAAGATTTCAGGCAATCGTAGAGGCTGTATATAGACGACTGCAGAGAGCAGGACCAAATGGAGACGTGTGGAGACTTGTCACACTACGTTTAAATATAAACTGGTCCAGTTAAAAGTGCTTTATGGAAACTAACTTTTCAAAGCATAATATTCTTAGTATTCTGCAACATAATTGACAAGAAGATTTCTGGTAACCACAATGTCCGCAGCAATTGAACGAATGAACAGTTACTTACATTTCAGTTTAGATTGCTTGAAACGCACTCTCAGTTCCTTTGAAGCAACATCAATAATACTTCTATCGGCTGCGATGAAGATGAAATGTGATAAACCTTTACTCATCTACCCGTCACATACTGGTGTAACGTTTACCAAACTATAACATTAATAAGTGATCTGACGACTAATGAATTACCCTGAGCGACTCTCTTCTACCCCGACATTATCACTTGTCATCGATGAAAGCATATGGAAAATAGTGGGGCCAGCTAAAGACGACTGCTATTGGAGTTCTGTGATTTACCGGGACATAAGGGGATAATACATATCTATACACACTTGTATTAATTATTTTACTTCTCAGACTTTTTCATAATATTTTATGTAATTATCATGTTTATCGTGTTTTCTCTATTCTGTTGTTTAATGTGTCCATTTGGAATGATTTACAGTTACAAAACTACCTAATGATTGGGAATTACGCTGAAGATGATGGATACGGTCCAGACATATGCTAAAATACATTCAGACGATGGATATCTAATGCGTCTGTGGCACAGTGGTTGGACTCTCGCTGACCATAAACTTGTTCCGTGGTTCAAAGCCCCTGTCGACGCACACCTGATATCAAAGGTCAGCCTGCAAAATCTAGGCTACCGATATCACATGCTGAAAATTTCATACCCGTATCAAAAAATACTGTGTGGAGTCAAGCTATAGTAATATTTTAAAAAAATATAATAAAATGGACCCCGAATGGGAACCAACGGCTCGGGTGTGAAAGAGGAGTAACAAAACTCCAGTCGTGTAACCAGCTGGAAGTGATAACAGGGAACCGAATGCAAGCAGCGTGTACTGTTAAAGCCTTATGTTCTACTCGGAACACGAGGAACGGATAATAATAATAATGTTTCTGAGGAATGTTTCAACGGAACCGCTTTCACCTAATGAGAAAGTCATTATTATATTTTGCATTAGAGACAATTTCAAATACTGCTCTGTTGTAATATACATGAAGAAAACCACTATAATTTCCCATAATTTTTATTTATATATACGTATAAATACCGAAACTAATAGTTACAAGCATTAAATATTAATTTTTTTGATTTTAAATCTTCCACAAACTAAGTTAGTCAAAAGTACTCAATGTTTGAATAGAGAATTGAATAAGTGAATTAAAAAAAACGTATTTTGAATTTGAAACTGCTTAACACCGACGACAGCATGTCCTTGCACGACAACACGAACGCACTTGACAGCACCGGCATCTTCTACAGCATCCACCAACACGTACACCAACTCCACGAACTGCAACTCCACCTCTTATACAGGCTCTACAGCATCGTCTGACGCCTATACCAATGCCACCACGAATTTGACATCGTGTTTTGACGCCTATTCTACTTCCAGTGTGCACACGAATACGTCGTTTGTCAGCACGTCTGCCGAATATTCCTATATCAATACCTACATTGAGGTAAAAGCAAAAGTATAACAGAATATAATTTAACAGCAGATTACTTTATAAAAAAAATTTGGT